ATATATATATACATACGACAGAATCAAGATATTAAATGACAAAATAGAAAGCGCGATTTTACATTTTCCTTTCTATATATGGTGTTGAACTATATTTGTTTGTTACTATTTATTCATTCATTACATTTAATTATTCTAATAAAATAATGTAGTAAAAATGAAACCACATTCCCTGAAAATAGGCCATTTCAGATCTGATTCAAAACTATGACCTTTGGATTAGATGTTCAACGCGCTATCCATTGCAATACAAGAACACAATGAACATTTTTCCTTTCTATGTATGATGTTGCACTATTAAATTTGTTTGTAACCATTTATTAATTTTTTAATTCAATTAAAGAATTGATAGTTGACAAAATTGTACTAATATCAAGTGGCATCCACTACAAGTTTTAAAAAATGTATTTAAACATGATTGGATGAATAGAAAGTATTTTATTAACGATTGAAAATTTGAACACAAGATATAAAAATGACTATATATATATATATATATATATGTAGCGTAGTGGCCGGTGTTGCATTGTTTTTTAGTATTAATAGGGTTTCAGGAAGGATCTTCTGACGGATGACGGATGATTTTGTGAAGAGGTACCTAGACTGCGTTAGCAGTCTTCAACCCTCTATCTGGTTATTTAATGTTCATGGTGTTGCAGCTTTGGTTGGGAGAGGAGGGCGTGACTTCAGGAGGATCTTCTGAATGGACGTTCAGCATTTTTATTTTGACACACGCATCAGAAGCTTATAATCACAGTGGTATTTAATATTACAACAGAGACGAACACGCACACACATATAGCACAAAAGATAAAAGAGATGCATCTATTTGTACCTTTTCACGTCGACGAGCTGGAGACACAAACTTTGACGATTACATGGAGGAAACAAAACAGACAATGGGACAAGCAGCAGCTACATTCTAAAAGATGAACACAAAGACAAAGAAAGCAATCACACAATATTTTCACTTTATATACCGGCAGTGACAACCTCTTGATTATTATGTAATAGTAGTTCTAATTGGTTGAAGTAGGTGGCACCTGTGTGGATTTCGGATACTAGTTGTTTACGATTAAGATTAAAGTTTTATTTTTGAACCACAGAATTAAAGCTTGTTTAAATGTTATTAAAAGGAGTTAAAATAAAAAGGATGCTAGAGGGAATTAGTACACACACACGCATATATATATATATATATATATATATATATATGTGTGTGTGTGTGTGTGTGTGTATATATAGGGAAGAGGGTAAACTAATAGTAGAAATTGAAAAATTACATGAAACTCTGTGTAAAAAAAATAAAAATATTTCTCTTAAGTTGCGACATAGCCATCCTATGATGACTATGTCTAGTAGGATCCGCGTAAGCTAGAGGTGTGGGATTATCTAAATGATGAGACATTATGTAATTCTTAACACAACTTTTATTAAGAATAACTTAAATTACTTAATTCTAATTAACAACTTTCTTAAAGTGAGAGTTAACACCCAATTAAACCTTATATTCAAGTCAGATCGCGCAACTAGATCACTTATCTTAATTATAATAAATTAACTGACTAATCTAACTTCCTATACAAAATATTACCTTTTGTAGAGTCACCTTCCTTCATCGATTGAGGTAATACCTATTACGTAATTTTAGATGAAAAGATTCAGACTTTCTTAATCTTTATTATAATTTAATTGAGATGAACGTATCCTTCTTCCAGAGCTGTAGGACGTCTAACACTTGTTCTGAACGATTCCACACTAAGTTATCTCTAGGCTTGCCGTTATATCTCATCAAAGCTTCTATCCTTTTAAAGTATATCTCATTTGCATATTCTATCCGTTTCTCTTCTTGGTATTGGGTTGGAAAGGTTTTGCCATTAATCGTTGCCGTCAAAGAACTTAGGAGTTATGTTAGAAGAAGGACGCGAGAGACGTCACAAAGTTTGAACGCTAAAAATTAAGAAATTCTTCATTTTATTTATTTATTTTTTACATAATTATATCATTAAGCTGGGATTTCACCTGCGCTGTATCTAAATAAAACAGCGGGTGACCTTGCATAATAACTAATGACTAATGGCGTTTATTTATACTGCTGATTCTAGAACATGTTTCAAGATGAATTGCATTTCCATTAGTTTATCTCTATCACATGTATGTCTGTGGAAACTTATCTACATATTCTTCAAAATAATAAATTATAGTTTAAAAAAACTAAAAAACCCGCTTTTATAGTGAATTGAACTAAAAAGCAAAAAATAAATAAATAATTCTTAATATAAGAATAAAATGATAAACAAGAAAATTAATGTTATTGCGGTAAAAACGTGGGGTGCTTTGTATTATATTTTTACACTGACTAAGCATTTCGGAATAGAACTAGTAGGAAATTATAACAATTAATATAGAGCATCCCACGCTTTTACATCAATGACATTAATTTTCTCGTTGATCATTTTATTATTATGTTAAGAATTATTTTTTCACTCTTTTTTGTTTGATTCACTATAAAAGCGTGTTTTTTAAGGATTTTTTTTAAGTACAATTTATTTTTTATTTTTTAGTTCGATTTACAATAAAAGCGTGCTTTTTTTAGTTTTTGAAACTGTCTTTATTCATTATTGAATTTATCCTGCAGTTTGATATTTGGAGCTGGAATGGGCTCAATGCACGTGACGTCACAGTCATATGATAGTGATAGCCACGTGATTCTAGCCATTCAATTCGGAAACTCATGTGACGTCATAGTCAACGATAAAATCTATCTTGTGTTTCTCCAGCTAATCAGTTCACGCGCTTCGGTGTTGCCAAGTTTTGCTCTTTGCAGAAACTTTCTCTTAAAAATTACATATGGATACAAAATGCATTGTATTTAAAAGTATAAGCATAAAATTCGATTTTTTTTTTAAATTTAAAAAACTTTTTAAAGAAATTTTTTTTCCTAATATTTAAAAATCTTTATCCAAATATGAAGTTTGAAATCTTATCTAAGTTTTACAACAGAACAACAAGTACTATTAGTTTTAAGTTTGTTTTAAATTCAATGGAGAGAACGTATTTCTCTTTATCGTATGATATCATGAATTCAGCCTTTTTGCGTGGCTGCTGGAATTAGACTTGCTCTTCAATGGATATTTACTAATGAGTCTTAAGGGTATTCTCTCCGTCTACTGGGCCATGGCTTGGTCTTCTTCGAAAAGTTTTAGATAACTTCTGATACCAAGTAATTCCAAATAGAAAAAAAAATATATATTCAGGTGTTCTTCGATTAATTCAGCGAGTTTTGTATTCACTTTCAGAGTTCAAGGTCCGCTGAAGTAGGGAATTTTGGTAAAATGAATTATGTAAAAAAATAGAATGTCTGAGTTTAGTAATTATAACGTAATTTTTTTTTCACGTGCACGAGTTTTTTTTTTCTTTAATTTCTATTTTCTAAAAACTATATAATCATTTATATTATGGTAAGAAATCACTAACACACCACCCACTCTCTCCTTTCTCACATAAAAAACCTTTTTTTGTTGTTTTATTTGTATTAATTATAAGCATTTTCATTTTTAGGGTTGCACCATTTTAAAGGGTAGGGTCTTTTAGTCGCCAAATCTGGAATTAATCGCCGAATTTGAAAATGGAGTATGAAATTAGTCGCCAAATCAGGAAATGGTATACGCAATAAATCGCCAAATCAGGAAACGATATAATGTGTTAGTCACCAAATTTCGAAATCTTTAAATTTGAGGATCCTTATCAGGACAATAAAACACAATTATAAAATTATTGTATTGTCATCGGTCCTTGACAAGTGTGCAATATTTGAAAGTAATATGGCCTTTTAAAGTGGGTAAAAATCGAGTCCTAGATTCCATTATATACAAGTGAAACTTACTAAAGCGTGTTAAAAAGGAAATGCTCCATTATTTAAAGTTTATTATGTGTTCCATTCAATTCTAAAAAAAAATGTAAACGTTTGTAGACACTATCATTTTATATATGTTATTAATTTTGATTCATTTTTCTTTTTTTTTCAATTTTGAAGCATGATGTGCGTAGTTTTGAAAGAAATTTTGCATGTTAAGAAACTGTTATAATGACAGAATTATAAAAATAAAGTTATTCTTTTTTTAAAGAAATTCACAACAAATGTTATCAACATTTATTCGTTCTAATATAAATTTCCCTCATTCGACTTTTCAACCATTTTTGTTGGAATAATTGCATCATTGTTCACGATTCTTATGTAAATGTAACATTTTCAACAAATCTGTTCGTTACTGAAAAAGGTATTTGCAGTTTAAAACCAATATTTATATTTATGCAAACATGACTTCTCAAAATCAAAATGTATAACAATCACATCAATCTAACATCGTAATCACTAAATCGAGCACTTTAGTTACAGGTGCTTTCTTGCTGTTGTTCTTTAACACATGAATGGTTTCATTTTCAAACAATAAACAACTTCTTTTGAAGGAAAAGGACTGACTAGAATATTTACTTTAGAAGATTTCGTTAAAATTCCATTCCTGTTTTTTCAAGAAAATAAGTTAATATGTGTTTTTTGTATACCTTATTACTTTAAAAAAATAGTGGAATTTTTGAAGTTATACTTCTTTTGGGGTGTTAGAGAAATAGAATGAGGGTAAATTTTTACGATGTGTGAGCACACCGTCAATGATGGGACGCAAACCTGTCACGGATGCGAAAACGCTTTGTCTAAAAATATACAGAACGGGACAGATTAATCCCGTTTTCGAAATTCTCAGAAAAATATTTCACTTTACTTTCTTGAAGAAGGGGACACCCGGGTTTTAACCGGAGACCTCTCGATCTGCAGTCGAATGCTCTATCACTGAGCTGTACCCCCGCGTCAGCGAACCTTTGCATTGCATTCCTTAGGAACGGATACGAAAATGCTTTGTCTAGACATATGCAGAACGGGACAAACCATTCCAGCCTTTAAAATTCTAAAAAAAAAAAAATGTCTCTTTTCACTTCCCTGAAGAAGAGTACCCCCGAGTTTGAAGAGGGGACCTCTCGATCTGCAGTCGAATGCTCTATCACTGAGCTATACCCCCCGTGTCTGCGAACCTTTGCTTTGCGTTGATTTGTGACGTCACTACTAATAGGGAAAGATCGTTCTTCGCCTACTGAACTTTTCTGATGCATTTGTTTGAACACTTTTTGTTATTAAACCAAACATACTTATAGGAAATTAAAAAACTAATAATAAATTAATCTTTAAATTGTATTTCATGTACATAAAACATAAGTCAATTTAAATAACAATTCCAAGTATATGATTATAGATGTATTTACTACGAACGCATTGCGATGAACATAAACACATTTATATATATTACATTGTTGCAAATTATAAGAGTCTTTTGTATTCGTGTATTTATTTTTGAAGTTATACTTCTTTTTGGGCGTTAGAGAAAAAGGATGAGGGTAATTTTTTACGATACGCGCACACACCGTTACGGATGCCTGCGCATTCCTTCACATCACCGATGCGCGCGCCCTCACTATTGTCTAAAATTTTAACATGCCACTTTTTTGATGCTATGGGACTGCTATTTGGGGGATCATAATAACTATTTTTATAACATCTTTTGGGACGCTTTCCCCCCACCTCTTCAGCTTTTTGGCCAATATCTCAGCACTCGAGCCTCACAGTCCATGCGATCCCTCTCTATCTGCTCTTCAAGTTATTATAATTTCATGCTCATAGGACTATTTCTTCTATAGTTTTTAATTGTCTTAAACTTTTTAAATTTGTTTAAATTCACAATATCTTGGCTCTTGTTCGAGTCTCGGACTTGAGATTTTAACCAAGTGTTCTACTCGTCGAGACCCATCCAGTCATCTGCTTCCTTCCCATTGTGTAGGCATGGGGAGGGCTTAAGCACTATAATATCATGCTCAAATGTTAACCCTATCGGAACTGGAAAAAAATTCACCCCCCTAAAGAATTGAGCTTGGAACTTGATTTTTAGAAGTTCGCCATAGTTTCGTATTAGCGCGAGCTTTACGTGGAATTGGCCCCCTCCCCTACAGGGCTTCCCCAGAAATAACTCGAATTCTACCCCACCTTGTTCGACCGCACTGGATGGATTCAACTGTTCTTCCTATGAGCATTCTAAACATATTTTTTCAGGACCATAGCCCCAATTCTTTACCCATATTTAACATTTTAAAATTATTTTAGTTATAATTTTTTTAAATCCCGCATAGCTCCGAGAATTTTTGAGATTTGTTCATGAAACTCAGAACATAGGTTCTCTTTGAGCTCTTTTATCTGTTATAATTCGTGTGTACATAGTGGGCTTAGGGGGGGGGTGTTATCACTAAAATTAGAATTCACATGTTATTCCTATGGGGTTCGATCTTTTGATGACGTAACGATATTACAGAGACAGAAGGATGAAACTTTGGGATCGCCTGCTACTCTGTGTTTCGTTAGGATGTACGTGACTATTTACGTCACAGTTATTCCCCCCCCGGGTGGAGTTAGTTTCATTCTCCTTTCCCGAGCTAGCGCCAGCCCATTTGCAACTACAGACTCCGGACCGATTCTAATGAATTACTCTTATGTTTGCTCACAACCAGTCCCAGGTTCGAGTTGCTGGGTGCCCTGCTTCAATTTTATTTAATTGTTTTAATTATTTTAAAATGTCCATAACTCGGGGCTCTTCAGGCGGATGTCTTAATTTTCTCAGGAACGATTCTTCCCGCCGAGACATTCAGTATGAGGTCTCAGGTGTCACATTCGGTTCACTTCATCTCCAGATACAGTCAGATACCCCCCCCCCCACGTTTTCGGACCTATTGTCCCTCTCTCTGTGTGCGGGAGTGTTTAAATTTATTTAAATAGTGATTATCTTATGTTTGGCTGGTCCGATTGACTGAAGGTTAGTATCGTTCAACTCTGCTCGTGACTGGCTTTCGTCCTTGGCCCAGCTTGCCCTGCTAAAGATATTTAGAAAGATTTTAATCTTGTTACGCCAAGGAAGTATAACTTCTTAAGTACGTACATAAGTACACACACATTTTTTTTCGATCTTCTGTTAGCAAGTTTCTTGGTTCAATTTAGCACAACGATAACCTTCTTAAAAGAAAAATGACTCATTAGTATATTTATTTAGCGTATTTCGATAAAATTATATTCCTGTTTTTTTGGTAAAGAAGATAATATGTATTGTCTGCATATCGTATTATGTTTGAAAAAAATGGTGGGATTTTTTTGTATATTCTATTTACAGGTTTCTGGATACTATTTTAGCATAAAATTTTTCTTATAAAAATGTATATTTTTCTTCTCGTTTTTTTATTTTTATTTTTTTTTCTTTACTATTGTAACTTTTATATTTTTAAAGGGTAAAGTATAATTTCAAAAACAGGTTTCGAACTAAACAAAAAAAAAAACAGTTTTCATGTTATTGAATTCATATCATAGCTTTTCGTAAGCGGTGGATTTCTGCTCTTTAGGTGACGCTGAAGATTGTAGTTGAAAATCGCACTAAAAGTACGCACTGACTTGTTAAGTATGAATCACAAGAGAAAAGAATTTTTTGCAATTTTCTTAGCATTAAAAAGGAAGGAAAAGTAACGATAGAGGGTTCGACGTATTTTAAAAAAAAAAGCGATTAAGACCAACATCTATACTAATACATGAGATCCGTGTGTCAGACACTGCTATTTTAATTTTTGTCGAATGCCGCGTAACCTTTCGATAATTTACTATCGATAGTTAGGCCAATTATTTCTAAAAGGGATATTATAGAGATAGTATTCAACCAAAGGATAGATTGGCTTTAACTCTGAGGTTTACACAAATTTCTTCAAATGTGAATTAATTAGTTCTGAAATTTTTGATGCTCTTACAAATATGTTTATAATTTTCAAATAAGAATATTTCATATTTAAAGCAACTTTTTATGTGCTTTATTGGTGGAAGCATTGAATTTTTTGTTATATAACATAGATTCAAAAAAAAAGAATATTTATTATTTTGTAAAAGCAATCAAAATAATAAAAACACAAATTAAGTTCATTTTTCTTACATGCATCATTTCAATGTTAATGATGCATGTTTCTATTGGATATGGAACATAATTAATTCTTTCTTGCGCTGAATTTTTGATAAAAATAGTGCACTATCGGGAAATAAATACAAATATTTTAAATAAACTTCACAAAACTACATTTACTGAACAAATGCTGGTACATATTAATAATATTAAACCCTTTTTGAAGTAAAGGGTGTCTAAAATTTTAAAAAGTTTGAGGCGCATATTTTGTACCACCCCTCTTAAAGCAGCATGATAATTCTTGAAACATGATTTTTCCCCAGCAACAGTGGAACTTTGCAGACACAACGCATTCATTCTGAATGAACTTGGGAAAATAAATAAATACACTTCATCTTATATACTGTTATTCATCCAATAAATTAAAACATCTTCAGTTTTTCCTAATCTAGGGTTGAAAACTTAATTTTAGAGTTTAGTCCTAATTTACCTAATGTTAGTTCTAATGTTAAGTATTTTATTCTATATGTTATTTTATTTTACCTAGTTATTATTTAGTCAACATATATAATAAGTGTATCAGTTGTAGCGCGTGTGTTCAGGAAAAAATAAATACAAGTCATTCAGGGCATTTGTGTAATTTTATATGTACTATTGTTTAATAAATATTATTATTATTTTAAAAAAAATTAACTTACAACAAATCTATCTGGGACAATAAACATGTCTATTATTGTGAAATAATAAGAGAAATACATTTTGTATTGGTAAAGCTGGCCTTCACAATAGTTAGGTAGTACATTTTTTGGAGTCTCATATTTTCATACCAGCAATGCACATTTGAGCTAATTATTGTTATGAATTATTGTATGAATTAGTGTAATATTGACTTATTTAGTTCCATCATATATGTACTTACGTGATTTGTATCAAATATCAAAATAATGATATTTGTATCAAATATAATTTTCCTTTACACATAACAATGCAAGAAGCAGTCACTACCAAAAAGTACCATTCCACAGACTCACAACTGATCAAAGAACGAACTACTGCATTAACAAATTACCTAAATTAGCTTCTGACATCTGTTGTAAACTTGAGTAACTGCTAGAAGGTGACCCGTGTGGTGGTTCAGAGAATGTACCTTCAAGCATCTGAGACATTCAAACAAGAGCTGCGTTTTATGTACCACCACACAATAAACAAATAAGAACTAGTGATACAACATATGCACCACCAGGAATGAAAGAGTTAATAAGCTTGTGAGAAACTTCTTCTCGAAGTTTCTCTCTCACCGTCTTGCCTACCTAAGGGTATGGGACGAATGAAAGCAGAACCAGAGAATTCCATAATCACAATTATTTATTTAGTCGAACAAATTAACCAACAACAATTTGCTTACAAAGTGAATGTCAAATAAGTAGCACAGAGAAAGCAATGATTACTAAGCAGATATTTGGAATCAACTTTTTTACTCACCGTAATCTATCGTTGATTCTTAACCTCAAATCTCCTAATTCAACTCAGTGGCCAAGCACCACTCTCAGTCTTTACATGTGAAAGTAAACATTATTCAATCTTACCTGCGTAGCGAATATACCTGCTTGCTACCTCCTTCTACTATAATTACAAAACTCTAAATTTATATAGTCGAACTAAAATCTGAATATTACGGTTTCTTCTTGAGAAGGATAGCTGTGAATCAAACGCGAATGCTAGCTCAAATATTCCCCAAAGAGGATTAGTGTGAAGGTCCAGTAAATATTCGTCACAAGCTTAACACAATGGGACCAGTGTTTATTATTATTTTCTTGTTGCTCGCACATCTGAATATAAAAAGAAAATGTTAAAGATGTATGTTACTAATATATATATATATTTATATAGTGATAAAAAAAACATTATTACATATTTGGCCATTTGGGCTTACTGCATGAAATATTTCTTCATTAGTTCAGAGCAAAGAAATTTTATCTAAAAAATGTAAACATTGTATTATTTCACATATCACTCACTCAAAACTAGCGCTCATGCGTGGTGAA